TCACAGCAGCACTTGCTGCAACCCCAACTCAGGGCCATGCTGGGAGGTGCCCACAGGCAGCTCTGACCCCCAGTTCCCCCAGAACCGCCCTCTGAGGCCGCTGGGGTGAGCTGGTGAGCACAAACTCCCTCCCCCCAGTGGTTCCCATCTGCTTGGAAGAAGCCTTGGAAGGGATTTTTTTTTTCTTTTTTTTCCTTTTTTTTAAACCAAAAAAAACCCCAAAAATTATTATTTTTCTCGTTTCCCCTAACATCAATGGAGGCACCTGCTCTAGTGATAACACATTGAAAGAACAGTATCATACACACTGTCTACAGCGCGGAAATGTACAAGCACGAGGTACACAAACCCGAGGAAGGGGGGGAGCAGGGACAACAGCACACAAGATTTACATTGAGGAGGGAGGCGGGGGGCTGCTCCCCCCGGCCCCTGGAGGGATTAGAAAGGAAGTCTGCAAAGTCTCTCCTTGGTTTGAAGCTCTCCGAACTGGATATAAAATGAGACTCCCAAGTGAAGAAGCCTGTACAAAAGTCAGGACAGGGTGAGAGGGCTCAGGGTGGAGAGGGGGTAACCGGCGAAGGGCTTGGGGGAGGCTTTTCCCAATTTTTTTTCTTTCTTTTTTTTAAACTTACAATTTTAATAATATTATCTTTTTTCCTTAAAAAATGACAAAAGTAGGAGGTACCAGGAGCCAGGGTTTGCAAAGGGGCCCCAGGCAGACTCACGTGGGGCAGGGGGAAGCGCAAGGGCTGCAGGCAGGGAGCAAGGGTACCGGCTGCTCAGGCAGAGTGGTGGATCCTCTGTGCCCCTCTCACCCCCCTGCCCCCTCCACGCACTTCCTATATACAGAGTCCTCCCACGGCCTTGCTGCACCCTCACCCCTGGGGAGCAAGGGGAGGGTGCAGGGGAGCGGAGAAATGCACCAGGACCCAATCCTCGACACCACCCCAGCGCAGCAGGATCCGACCCCAGCCAGAGAAGGCTCTGTGGCAGAGCCGGCAGCACAGGGAAGGCTTTCCATCACTGGTCCCCCTGCAGATGTGCAACCCTGCTGCAGGTGGCTGCCCAGCAAACCCCAGACATAGGGCCCAGGGGGGAGGAGGAGGGTCTCTGGGCTGTGCCAGACCCCAACACATATGCACACCGCTGGCTTCCTGGTCGTGCCAACCACTGCCAACGTCTCCCTCCTCATTACCCCTGCTCATCAGGTGGGAGCTGGGCACATCAGGGCAGGGATGAGAAATTCTCCAGGGAAGAAGCAGGGAGGAAGAGGGAGAAGGGGGGTATAACGAAGCTACAGCCCTGGAAACCACCCCTGCCCTGGGATCCGGTGGGGAGGCAGGCGTGGGAGGAGCAGGGAGGCGATGGGGGTCGAGGGCTGTGGGGGCCCGCCCCCGGCCGGGC